TTCTGATTTTGGGTATTCTCAGCCTTTTTAGGCTGGTTTCTTCCCTTCGTTATAAATTTATCCATCTGTGGTCTTTATAATTACCGTCTTTATAGTTGGGTTTCTGAACGGACATCCAACTTGTTGATTCCCGGCGCTAGAATCTGAGCAACCCACTGTGCCGGCCAAAACAGCGGCTTTAAGATTTTTATTTAAAAATTTTTATTTAAAATTAAATGTATATTTTATTGAAAACCTTCCTGAAAATTTTTAAAAAGGAAATTTATTCACATTTACATTTGAAAACGTGACATAAATCACAATAAATAACCCTTGAGATTCTAATGTCACAGAAGTGAGATTTGGGGAAGGTAAGTTATAAAGTTCATTAATGGTAAATATAGGAATAGTTTAATCTCAGTCCATTGCTCTGTCTACCTTGTCACATATTAAAGGAGAGAGAAATTGGTCTAGGTTACTAAACTAAAACTAATTTTCAACTAATTAAACTAATTTTAGTTTAGTATAATATTGAACTGAAAATGATTATTGTCTTGCAGAAATTATATGCCCAAACAAATGTGAAAGAAAACTCCTTTTATTGATTTTTAAGAAAGGGCAGCAACTAGTTTTTAAAATTATAAATTTAATTCTACTCAGAGGTAGAGGAATGGGCTCCATTTATTATATGACTGATATAGATATCTATTTATATATAGATATCTTAGACTCTGAAGATAAATATCTATTTTCATTCACATTGAATATATGGATGTCCAGAAAATGTAGCAGTGTATGTTATAAAACAATATGTTGTCTGAATTATGAACAGTGAACCTTTTATGGCTTGGTAGATTATGTGGCATTTGTTACAAAATTTTTTAATCAATGGCCTTGAAAAATTTTATAAAATCTTTAAATGCTTTTAAAAATGAAGAGTAATAATCATATATTTTTGGACTGCTAAGAATGACTTATTTTTCAAAATCATTTTTCATTTAGTGATAAACAAGCAACTTTGATTCCTGATGAAGTGTTTGATGCAGTAAAAAGCAACATCATCACTTCTGTTAACTTCAGTAAGAATCAACTATGTGAAATTCCAAAAAGGTAAGAACTATTCATGATGCCATTTCTATAGGTTGTGACTCATTCTATTGTTTTCCTATCTTAGTTGCAATAAAAATTATTTTCCTTGGTTTTTAAATTTAAAAGTATATGTAAAAATTTTTACATTATTAATATTAGAGGGATTTACCAAAATGTCATTAAGTATTAACTGAGACAATTTTACCATTTGTTCTGAGAGGTATAGAGTTAAAAATTTTTGTTTCTTTTTCTTTTGTATTTAAACTTGGAGAATGGGTAGTAGAATTATTAAAAACATTAAATTGTTTTCCCATGTAATGAAATATTAGAGAAAAGTGTTAAGAGACTGTCTAATATATCAGGTCCATGTGGATTAATAGGAATTTTCATTTGGGGCTTTATGTTAATTAATTGCCAAGCCCCAATTTTTCTATTGATAAGAAAAGCAAAATTGACTGAAGCCTGTTAATATTTTTCTCCTAGAAAAGATTCTTTACCTGTAGTGATTAGAAATCATTTGCTTTATGCTTTGTACTGTGTAATATATTTTTGTTAATTACAGCAAAATCTTTAGATTATGAAAGAAAATTAATTTAGTATATTATTGAACTTTAAAAAACATTTGTTATCTGGCAGTAAACTATATACCCAAAGAAAGTTGACAGATAACCTAGCAGTTAAAACAACCCAGTGTGAGACAGGATACGGCAATGATAAGGAACCTGAGCAATAGAGTCAATTACTTGTACCATATCCCAGACCTGCTTGTAATTTTTGGACAGGTTAACTAGCTGTTCTTAGTTTTCTCACCTGTGAAATAGGGGTAATAATAGCACCTATTTATAGGGATTAAACTAAATGACATAATCCACACAAAGCATTTAACTAGAGCCTAATGCTTTTATACACTAGGATCTAGTAAATACTTAAAAAACAAAGGTGATGATTTCGTGAAGGAGAGTGATGTGATGAATTGAGATAATTGAATGATTTTCATCTATCAATTTTTTTTAGATGTTTAAAACTTTTTAAAAGTGAGACAAACTGTAATTTGTTTTATATTTTACAGAGCATAATTTAAGGAATGTAGATCTTAAAAGATGACAACTTAAGAGAGTCCATGGCAAAAAGAGTCTAGTCCATCTTCTGGTTCTCTCTTGTTTTAAAGGACTGAGAGAATATTTGATAGAATTGATCATTTAGATTTGCTCTCAGATAAGACAGGCTTGCTTTGGGGGATCCTGGATCAAATAAGTTAATTGGGAATAAAGATAGAGAGACTTAAGAGACATTACCTTATTATTTACTTCCTCACTTTATCCCACTATCTGGGTCTTCTTTTGCAAAACAATGTCATTCTGTTGACACAGCTATTATATAACACTTTGAGCAACTTAGAATGTCAAGAAAATAATCAAGACATGCTTTACGACATGGATATATTACATTAAAAAAAAAAGTCATGCTTTTCTCTAGAAAGTTTCCAAATAATTTTCCCTTTTTAAAAAAATTTTGATTCATAATTCATACTTTTCACCAAAGGTTATAAAAATAATACATACTCATAAAGTTTTAGAATAAATGAAGGAACGCTTGAGTTGTAGTTTCACCACTGATTTACTCTGTTAACTTTGTGGCATATTACATATTTTATTTTAAGCTATTCTCCATTTGGGGTTATATATGCTATTTATATCTTTTTTATTTTTTTGAGACAGGATCTCACTTTGTTTCCCAGACCGGAGTTCAGTGGCACAATCATGGCTCAACGCAGCCTTAACCTCTCAGGCTCAAGTGATGCTCCCACCTCAGCCTCCCTAGTGGCTGGGGCTCCAGGCATATGACACCACGCCATGCTAATTTTTGGATTTTTTGATAGAGGCAGGGTTTTGCCACCTTGCCCAGGCTGATTTCAAACTCGAGCTCAAGTGATCCGCCTGCCTTGGCCTCCCAAGGTCCTGGGATTACTGGTGTGAGCCACTGTGCCTGGTCATAATTTGTTTCTTGACTGGTTTGTCGAAAGTTGGCCGGGCACGGTGGCTCAAGCCTGTAATCCCAGCACTTTGGGAGGCCGAGGCGGGTGGATCACGAGGTCAAGAGATCGAGACCATCCTGGTCAACATGGTGAA